ACCGCATGAGGGGTGTGCCGAAATGTGGCGGGGCACACAACGCAAAGGAACACGATAGATCTGATTACGAAAGAAAGAACGCGGGTGGGTCAGAGCGCGAGGGAATCTGAGTATGAATGGGTCTGCGCGCGAATGAATATATTTGCATGAGTGCGATCACGGAAACGCCTAGTGTAAGTGTATATGAATGTGAATGGTTCGAGCATGCCTGTCCGAACACGCGTGACACTGGGCGTGGCCGCCGCAGGCAGCTTCCGCGGGAACCCCGACGGCAGCGTCCGCACGTCGCGACGCCCATGTCGGCACGCCTCTTGCGAAGATCGCGCCCGCTTTCGGCTCTTCTTTTCCTTCCTCTTTGCCCGCGCACTCCAAAATCCAAGGCTGCGGGCGCAGCGCAGCGCGGAGTCCCCGCGACGCGCGCTGGTCGCCCCGGGCGGGGCCCCAGCGACGCGCGCGGGTCGTCCGCTGCGCGAAGCAGAGAGAGCTGACTAGCTAACTGGCTGGCTGATAGCGGGCAAGTCTCTGACCGCTGGGCAGAGCGACGACGGGCGAACGAGGCGCCGGGCCCCCCGCAGCACGGAGTTCCCGCGACGCGCGCTGGTCGCCCCGAGAGGGTCCCAGCGACGCGCGCGGGTCGTCCGCGGCGCGAGGCCAAACAATTAGTCGGGCAGTCGAGAGAAGGCGCGGCTCGGGGGAGACGCTCCTCAGGTCAGGCCTCGCGGATGAACTCGGTGAAGCCGAGCTCCCTGGCGAGGGCCGTCGCTTCCCTCCTGCACCGCTTCGTGCGCGCAGCAAACTGCTCCAGCTGCTTCCGCAAGCCCTGCGGCGGCCCTGCCAGGAAGAACTCGATGCGCGGCGCCCGCATGAGCAGGAGGTCCTCGTGGCGCGTGGCGCGCGAGAGCAGCACGTAGAGCTCCAGCCACCAGTCGTCGTCCTCCTTCTTGCCGTTCCCTACCTCGTGGCGGCCGCAATCCAGGATCACGCCTGGGCGACGTCGACCGAGGGAGCAGCGCGCCGGGCAGCCGACGGCCCAGGGCGAGAGTCCACAGGACCGAGAGATGGTCTGGCCGCGGACTGCTCGCGCCCCGGAGGTCTGGCCGCCCCCGGAGCGCCGTTCCCCCGCCCCGTCGCCTTCGCGCATGGTGCGCCCCTGGCACGCCACCGTGGTGATGACCCTGCCGTGCGAGAAATGCGGGGGGTGTGCCGAAATGGGTGGGGGTGACGCATGCGGGCGGCGGCACTGAGGCCTTCGGTGGAGCTCCCTATGGAGCCACGAAACGTGTGAGGGGTGTGCCGAAATGGGTGTGGGTGACGCATGCGGCCGCGGGCACTGGGGCCTTCGGTGGAGCTCCCTATGGAGCCTCGAAACGTGTGAGGGGTGTGCCGAAATGGGTGTGGGTGACGCATGCGGCCGCGGGCACTGGGGCCTTCGGTGGAGCTCCCTATGGAGCCACGAAACGTGTGAGGGGTGTGCCGAAATGGGTGTGGGTGACGCATGCGGCGCGGGCACTGGGGCCTTCGGTGGAGCTCCCTATGGAGCCACGAAACGTGTGAGGGGTGTGCCGAAATGGGTGTGGGTGACGCATGCGGCCGCGGGCACTGGGGCCTTCGGTGGAGCTCCCTATGGAGCCACGAAACGTGTGAGGGGTGTGCCGAAATGGGTGTGGGGGACGCATGCGGCCGCGGGCACTGGGGCCTTCGGTGGAGCTCCCTATGAGCCACGAAACGTGTGAGGGGTGTGCCGAAATGGGTGTGGGGGACGCATGCGGCCGCGGGCACTGGGGCCTTCGGTGGAGCTCCCTATGGAGCCACGAAACGTGTGAGGGGTGTGCCGAAATGGGTGTGGGGGACGCATGCGGCGCGGGCACTGGGGCCTTCGGTGGGGCTCCCTATGGAGCCACGAAACGTGTGAGGTGTGCCGAAATTGTGTGGGTGACGCATGCGGCCGGCGGCCACTGGGCCTCGGTGCGACTCCCTTGGAGCCCACGAAAACGTGTGAGGGGTGTGGCCGAAATGGTTTGGGGACGCGATGCGGCCGGCGGTCACTGGTGCCTGCGGTGGAGCTCCCATGGAGCCACGAAACGTGTGAGGGGTGTGCCGAAATGGGTGTGGGTGACGCATGCGGCCGCGGCCACTGGGGCCTTCGGTGGAGCTCCCTATGGAGCCACGAAACGTGTGAGGGGTGTGCCGAAATGGGTGTGGGTGACGCCTGCGGCCGCGGGCACTGGGGCCTTCGGTGGAGCTCCCTATGGAGCCACGAAACGTGTGAGGGGTGTGCCGAAATGGGTGTGGGTGACGCATGCGGCCGCGGGCACTGGGGACTTGGGTGGAGCTCCCTATGGAGCCTCGAAACGTGTGAGGGGTGTGCCGAAATGGGTGTGGGTGACGCATGCGGCCGCGGCCACTGGGGCCTTCGGTGGAGCTCCCTATGGAGCCACTAAACGTGTGAGGGGTGTGCCGAAATGGGTGTGGGTGACGCATGCGGCCGCGGGCACTGGGG